GTGATAGACATCTGGGTTGTCTCCACGTTTCGGCTCGTCACGAATGAAACTGCTGTGAACACGGGTGCACATGTTTACGTATGGCTGCATGTTTTCATTTTTCCTTGCTACGCGCCTAGGAGCAGAATTGCTGGGTCGCGGAATAACTGTGTTTACCCCAAGAGAATGCCCCCCAGGGCTGGGTGAGCACCACCTGGGCACATGGGGCCCCACAGCTGAGCCCTGGGCGGGACCTCACAGCCCACCCCAGAGGTTTGAGGAACTGCCAGACTATTTCCCAAAGTACCCATGGCATTCCACGTTCCCACCAGCGGCGTGCTGGAGTTCATCCTGCTTTTCTTACTCTCTGGAGACTAAAGTCATCCATCCACCCACCTAGTCCTCCATCCACTACCCACTCACCCACCATCAATCCACCACCAAGCCACCATCTATCCACCCACCTAGCTACCATCCATCCACCATCCACAGCCCACCCACCATCCATCCACCATCTATCCACCCACCATCCATCCACCCACCTAGCTACCATCCATGCACTGTCCACAACCCACCCACCATCCATCCACCATCTAGTCACCCATCCCCCATCCACCATCTACTCATCCACCCACTCATCATCCATCCACTCTCCATCTCCATCCACAATCTACCCACCACCATCCATCCTCCCATCTACCACCCAGCCACCCACCATCCATCCACCATCCATCCATCCATCCATCCACCATCCATTCATCCATCCACCATCCATTCATCCATCCACCATCCGTCCACCATCCATCCATCCATCCGTCCACCATCCATCCACCATCCATCCATCCATCCATCTATCCATCCATCCATCCACCATCCATCCATCCACCATCCATCCATCCACCATCCAACCACCATCCATCCATCCATCCACCATCATCCATCCATCCACCATCCATCCACCATCCATCCGTCCACCATCCATCCACCATCCATCCACCATCCATCCATCCACCATCCATCCATCCAACATCCATTCATCCATCCACCATCCATCCATTTGTCCACCATCCATCCATCCATACATCCATCCATCCTGTCCATCCATCCTGTCCATCCATCCATCCATCCATCCACCATCCATCCACCATCCATCAATCTATCCATCCATCCACCATCCATCCATCTACCATCCATCCACCATCCATCCATCCATCCA